GCACAACATTCAAGGTCGTGTTGGAGATATCCAAGAAGCCGTTCATCCTGATATAGGCTGTAGTTTCCTAAAAGTAAACTAAGTAAATACAAGGTTCTCCATGAACCTTAGTTAATATTATAAGTCATTAATTTTTTTCTGGAATATGTTGACCACTGTGTTCCTTCTAATGTTAGGTGCTGGTGGTCTAGTGGTTTAAGTCACGGCCAATGGCGTACTTTAGCCCCTGGGGTCCGAGGCTTGCAATCCGTCACTGCCACCCAACTCTGGTAGTAGACGGTCTCTGTTTCGTCTGGTGCACTACCACTCCCTTTGCTAATGACGACTTATGTGGTTCGCCACTGTAGCTACCGGGGTTAAGATGGCCGGTTTTCGTGAGTGAACAGTAGGTTCTCAGGACTACGGCAACAGCCTCCTCCTGGCGTGTAATAAAAAGCAGAGATACCAGAACAAGTCATTGCAACGCCAATTACATCTGCGCTTCTGTTTATCCATTGTTTTCTTCATTTCTTACTGTGAGCAACTGTTCGTTAATCGGTCACAAAAACGCGGGACCAACTCTGTGTTTTAAAGTGTTCAGTATCCGTTTTTATTCCATATAGTTATTTGGCGATTTCTATTGCATATATAATCCTGAGGTTTCCAGTTACCGTAGCCCTTTTATACGATAACGATAATCGATATGCTACTCGTTTCAGGATCTGCATTCCTGGGCAACTCAGTATCGCGATACACTGTCGCGAGGAATAAAAAATAGTCGTGCACATGATAAGGAATTACTCAAACAGCAGAACGATGCTGCAAGGGCTTCAACAGCACTATCCGGTGCTGATCCCACGCAAGCAGCCCTTTGGGAACGTGTTTGTCAACTGTGCAGCTTTGTCAATTCTGCCGCGGATGAAGTTTCCGGTGGTTCGCCCGTAAAGCGAGCGGGACCGAAAGAAGGACGTGATCTGCAGCGGATGCGAACGCTCCTCCTTCAACTGAAACAAAATCCTCCAATTCGTCGGGGTTAATAATAAGTGCATTCAAGTTTATGGAAATATAGTCAAATTTTAATTCTGTACTTAACTTTCGCACCCAATCGGTGGCGTATACTTTGCATTTATCGTTGTTGTTGTCTTCATGCTTACATTCCTGTGACATTATTTTCTATCTGTGATTTGCCCTGCATTTACCTCTTGCGTTGACTTGATGGTTCACAGTGAATTTATTAAAAAATCTAGCTACTTCAAGTTAATCTCAAACCGAGTGCTCTGATTGAATTTTGGGTCCGGAGCTTTCGACCATTTTTCGTCAAAAGGACACTTAAAGTCGTAAACCGCATGCATGCCTTCTAAACGTTTTGTGTTTCTCAGATAATGCCCATCGCTTCTTCCAATTGCAGTTTTTACAGCTATAAGTTCGATCCTGTTTCGGAACGACATTCTAACAGTATCTTAAACAAAGAACAAGAAATCGCGAGATAATATGATCACCAATTTGCATCGCCGATATTGCTTAATGAGGAAAAAATACATTTGTGTCAAGGATGACCAATGAAAAGTACCAAATCGTAATTCGCAGGTCAACAATCTGACTTGCATCACTAGGGTAGAATCAAGTTAGCATTGTAGCGAGAGGGCAATCGGACCAAGTGCCTGTTTATTAAGGTAACAAAATAAGTTCCCTTTGTGAACCACACAGTCGTGCATATGGTATTTTCGAATCAGCTGCCAACAAGGTCCTCATTTCGACTGCCTGGGCACTCCAGCTTCTTTTCGACCATCTAATGTCAGTATTACGAGACTGCACCTTGGCGTGGTGTGATGGCTTGCGTGCCTCCATGACCCTGCGAGCTATACAGGATGACTTTCCACAGCCGTAGATTCAATCGTGCCTGAAAGGTCAACGGGTAGAGGCTAGACAAAGCCAGCTGCTTGGGCACCTCCTGGCTTCTTTCTATCCACATTCGCCCCTGGAGAGGTCACTCCAGCTAATAAACACGATGAGGGGGCAGTTTACCAGCCCAAATACCCCACTAGATAGACGTAGGAACAGGGTACCTGGTGCTTCCTCTCAACGGTGGGAGAAGTCTTCGCACTTCATTGGTCAGCTACCTCCCGCTCAAGCTGGGCAGCCCCCAGCCAATAAGGTGCTGTCCCTTTCACGTTCCGCTCGTTTAATTGTATGCATGAGGCTAAGGGCCGATCCCGAAAAGCGGACCGACAATCAACGCACCAGCGAATCACCAAACTTAACCGAAATTTAAAGCCCTTGCGTGACAGGTCTCTAGAAGCTCCCACACGAGTGCTTCGTTCTCGCCCCCCTCATTGGATTTACGCCCCACTGCCTTGATTCAAAGGCTCCCGTTAGGGTTTCCAAAGAAAAACGCCTTCGTCGGCATGGGCTACTGCGAAGTATGTCGTGCCCTAAGGTCTTAGGTACTCATTTGGAAAACCATCTTTCCCATCTATCTAGTTCTTCTCAATCCCAGATGCCTCCTGTTTACGCCACCCATCAAATATCAATCAACGTTTTACAAGCAAGGCAAAACAACCAGAAGTTATCGGATTTTTGAAGCCGAAATTTCCTTTTCACTTAGCCGCGTTCAATGTCCGCACACTCAGATCGGTCAACAAGCTGCCTTAGCTAGAACCCTTGAGACTTTCAATTTAGACATATGCTGTGTCTCCGAAACACGCATACAAGACCCTTCTTCCATTATCTCCCTGCGTTCTCCTGATCCAACCTCAACCTCACGCTTCACCCTTCATGTATCAGGCGATTCGGCATTCGAAGCTCGCGGTGTTACTAGTGTTGGAATTGCGCTTAGTGTCAAGGCCGAGCACTCGCTTCTGGACTGGGTTCGAGTCAGTAACCGACTGTGCGCTGTATGTTTCAACATTTCAGCACGGGGCAATAGCTACAGAACAAAGTGACGATGCTTATTCATCTTATCGGTGTATGCACCGACCGATTGCAGTACAACTGAAATCAAGGATGAATTTTACAAGGACCTTTTTCGATTACTCCAAAGCGTTCTATCAACGAACATCATGGTCATCGCTGGAGACTTCAATGCTCAAGTGGGATGATCCCTGGACGAATCGGAGAGGCTTCTTGGTAGACCACATGCAATCCCAGCCAACCGGACGAACAACGACAATCGCCTACTTCAACCCTGCCGATCACGGATCGTTCCTGTCAAGCACGAACTTCTCGCACAAGAAACAACACCGCCTTACATAGAAACTGCCAACCTCTTGATAGCGCTGTACCCAAATCGACCACATCGTCATCAGTTACCGCTGGAGAGGATCGATTCCATACTGCCGCTCTGGTCAACATCTGTGGATACGGACCACGACTTGTTACGAGCCAAATTTTCCTTACGCCTGGCAAACAACGGCATAAACGCCACCGGCAACGAATACCTACGATACAGTGTCAGCGATTTATGGAGATCAACATTCGAAGCGGAGCTCTCCAATCGCCTGTCGGTTCAGCCACCAGTCGAAGGACTCTGAACACTGGAAGCAAATCAAGTAAACAATGCATATGTCATTAGAAACAAGGTCGGACCCTGGCGTTCGTTCAAAATCCAAACAATGAATCTCGTCGACCTCGGCTGCCCTGCTTGACTCCCGTAGAACCCTTCCTTCCGATGCCGCATATGACACGCAAATCCCTCAAACGCCAACGCATCAAGAGTCTGAAGAATGACCGCGAGAAGTGGTGGGTAGGAAAGTGTAGAAATATGGAGCAGGCTGCGGCTATTGTTCATAGTTGCAATCTTTTCCGTCTAATTAGGAATGCGAGTCTTAGGAAGATAAGCTTAAGGAATCCGATGGCCCACTGATTCACAATCAG